GCAAGATCACATTAGTCTTTCTTTCACTTATCCCTTACCCTTTTTGAGCCTTCCACTTGAACTAACTCGTACCTCCTAACAGGTGTTCTATTGGGTCTGCGCTACATATGGCTAGCCCACCTAAGTCTACTCTCTCTCATGTTACTATTGCCTATTGGTGCGACACCTAAATTTTCATGAATGTATTCATTTTGATTTTTATCCCTTCTTGTCTTGCCACCTCTCATCAAGATAATGGAGGGAGATTGATTCATCAAAATTAGCAGCTCGTGAGCTTCTTGTAAGCTTCTTCTTTAGACCTACAAGAACTCCATAAGCCTTTTCCAATGCAAACCAAAAGTAGCCTCTTATTTGAAAATATTGACAACAAATTGTGAAGCTATATGTCACATGTTTAGTAGAATTTAAAACTTTTCTTCTCTAGAAACAAAATCTAGTATAATACCATCATTTCCCTTGGTGGGTGTTACTCCATCCCTGTCACCAGTGATGTGGTTAGTTAACAATCAAAAAGAAAAGAAAAGAAAAGAAAAGAAAAGAAAAGAAATAACAATAGTAGTAGTATTAATAACAATCATCATCCATCCATCCATCCATCCCTGTCACCATTGATGTGATTAACAGCAAAAAAAGAAAAGAAATAAACTATTAATAATAATAATAGTCAGGAAATGGGTGTGGGCTATACATGGTTAGGGGGATGGATGTTGTTTCTGTTCTCTGCATGTTGTTTAAAGGACTTGAGAACTGATCTTTTTTTTTTGTTTTTTTTATAATAATCTTAGAATTGATACTTATTATTTGTTTTTAATGAGAAGACTGATAAAAATTAGCTAAGGTGAATGAAAAATGTGCTGCATTATCAAACCGAATTTTGTCCCTGGAAGCTATGTGTAGTTGTTTCAAATTAAAGAGAATTTTTTTGAAAACCACAAGCTGTGACGGGGCACAAGTGAAGCTTATCCTGATGTCTGCAAGTATCAAAGACTGGTGGGAAGTATCATTCATCCATCCTTAGCGAGCCCGTACTATCATATGCAATTGGAGCATCTATCTTGTTCAGGCAAAATCCTATCAAGAATTGATCTGATGCAGGTTGAGAATTGTGTGATTTCAAAACTTACCAAGATTTGACGAGTTCTTGATGGACTTGACCAGTGAATAAAACTCATTTCAGGTCGAACCTGCCTCAGTCAACTTTACTTATTCAGTGGATAAGTTTTATAAATGAAAATCTGAGGATGCATCCAAGTTTTCGCTTATATACAATTTTTCTATGTTATTTTGTCACATAAATAGTGTCTTTGATTCTGGTAGGATTGTGGTATGACTTAAGTGACGAGATGGGTTTGAGTACCATTATAGACATTTTTTTTAAAAAAAAATATCACTTGAAATATTTGGAAAACTTGCTGTTTCCAAGTTGTCTGTTTAACGTTTTTTCAAATCCGCTCACTTTTGACAGTGACCAAGCGGCCTGTGAGTTGGAGTTTCTGAACACTGGACTGACTGAATGAGAGCCAGACTTTGCAATGGGTTGTCCAAGTCGACTTGCTTTTTTTCGAAGTTCTCGTAATCTACCCGTCAAAAATTAAGTTGTAGATATTTTACCATGGCAGCTGAAGGATGTGAGTTGGAGTTTCTGACCGCTGGACTGACTGAATGAGTGGCAGACTTTGCTATGGCTTGTCCAAGTCGACTTGCCTTTCTAAAAGTTGTTCTCGTAATCTACCCGTCAAAAATTAAGTTGTAGATATTTCATCATGGCAGCTGAAGGAGATCAATTTATCAAGTTAGTCGAAAAGATAGATTGATTTAACTACATTGTCCTATGGGGTTTCTTATGGGGAAAGAGAAACTGTTGAAGGAAAAGGCAACATTGATGAGAATATTATTCTTTTTTATTTTAAGGGTATTGTTGTACTCTTATTTAATCTAAGAGTTTCTTGGGTACTTTGAATGTTAATGTTAAGCGTTACCTCATGTGCTAGTTAAACTTAATATGAAAGTTTTTCCTGATGAGCATGTAAATAGTGTTCTAATCTCCTTGTTGAAAATAATGCCTTAAAGAAGATAAACATCTTCTGCACCACATGAATTCTGTCCCTCCAAATCTTAAAATAAAGTTTGCAATTTTTAAGTTACATTTAAGCACAAGCACCATTTTTTAAGCCTCTTCATTTTTGGGGTTCATTGCTGGATAATGATGTCGACAATTCCAAGTACATTGCACTTCTTTTAGCTTGTAAGAAAAGAACTGTGGTGCATTTCTTTGATTTGGAAGCCTCATGTCCATAATATATCTGATTTGGAAGCCTCAAGTCCAGAATATATTTTGGATTGACTTGATAATGTAGCTTTCACCAGCCCCCTGGCACCATGGTTTGTCTGCATTGTTTGATTCATTGATCCAATGGGAATACAAGAAGCTTTAGGCCCACTGAAAAGTTCCCATTCTCAAAAGAACTTGTACGTATTGGAACCTTTCCTCCCACTTTTATTGCTCTCTAGAGGAAGTTTGTTTGATTTTGAAACATCTCGTTTCCCACCAACTATAGAGACCCAACAAAATGCCAACTCATATCTGCACCAGTACCAGAAGAAGACGCTAGCAAGGATCTCTGTAATATTAGTGAGTGGCAACTCAAGTCCTTGTGCCCGCCATTTAGAAATGTTATTGTGCCTAGCATAATCTTCATGTGTGATCTTCTCTTTCATGAACTTTTTTATTAATGTTTGGCATTTAAAATCTTTACCTTGTTAAACTAATGGCCTGGAGCTCTTCTAAGTAATTCACTTTAAGATATAACAAAGTTTTTGTCGTTGTGGGATGAAAAATAGGAAAGGGGCTGGGGTCGTGGTGGTAGCATCACCACACCTAGTCACCACATTGTGGTTTCCATTCCTACCACTAGCATCACCCCACTAACATCTTCAAAAAAAAAATGGCTTGGGGCTTTAATGTTGGTGCCCAACACTTCTAGTTAGTATTACTTTGAGTTATTAATTCAGATAGGATGTAGTCCTTGCCAAAAGGAAAGTAAAAAGAAAGGGAAATAAATAAAAGAAAAAAGTTTTAGAGCTACTGCAACTTTTACCATGCACTATTGGTATATCCAGAACTTTCAAAACAGCACCTATTTTCAAATATTTTAGTAATGCATCCTTATATCTATCCAGCCAATCAGCATAGAGAAGTTATTGAATAAAATCTTTAAGTACGAACAAAGAACACTTTTCGATCCACACTCCTTTCTGCTGTGATATTTCTTGTTTGCTTTGACTTTTTCTGGATTCCATTAGTAATTGATAATGCTTCTCAGTATCTCTTCTTAAGAGTTGCTGACCATAAAATCCTTTGAGTACGTGGTGTTTGATGCCCTTCTGTGCCCTTATTTAGGGAACCAAGTCGAATTTTCATACTGGCATCTGCTCTGCGTTACACTCATTCAATGATTTAAGTGATGTTAGGTGTCTTAACCTAGTTGCTCTGTCCATAATTATACTCCTTTCCCAGCATTGTACTCAACTGTGAAGCGTAGTGTCATTGCAATTTGGGATCTGAGAGACATAGCATGAGCAAAGAGCAAGTACTTCCTTACCAGATTCCAAGAAAGAAACAACAAAAGACAATCAATTCAGAGAAAATTTAAGAACCATGTAGTGATATGTTTTCTATTAATTTTTGAAATGTATGTTGATTTCTTAAATGCTTAATTGTTGTGCGTCTTTGCTCTTTTCTATTAAGTTCGTTGCTGTAAATGGTGTCAGCTTGCTGTAAGTGGTGTCAGCTTACTACTGCTTTATGAGATTTTCTCCTAAACTTTGCCTGTTGGACTTAATTTTTATGGGGTTCCTCCCCATGAGATGAGATGAAGATCAACTTTTATGGTAGCTCCTAAAGAGAACTCTGTAGTTGATCGAGATTTAGCAGTGTTTGGTGACAATTAGGTGGAGATAATCTCAACCAATGTGAGTTCACCAGGATGATGCACCCTTTTTGAATGAGGCTCACTCATATTTTTCTTAGAATTCACATGTCTGGCCAGATTTGGAGATACCATTTTCATTTACTTTTGATAGCACGTCCCTACCTATGATCAGCGTCGCTCCATTTTGCTCTCTATCTTACGATGCTGCTGGTTGTTCACAACAATTCTTCATTCTCTCTCATTCTTCACCTATTTTCTTATTTTTATGCATTTTGATTTTTCCTTCTTGTACTTGTTGCACGAACAGGTTGTCCTCCTCCAACTTCTAGCCTATAGTGAGGCACTTTACTACTAAATGGGTCCTAACTCCTACTAAGAACAACAAAAATTGGTCCCTTAATCATGTCAGTATATTCCCATATACAGAAAAATTGATATTTGATATTAACCCATAAAAAATTATTTTTTGATATTACTGCTCTCTCTCTCTCTCTCTGTGCAATGTGATTATCAGGTGTCTACCACGATTGGAGTCTAAATTTTTTTTATTGTTGCTGTAAATCCTCATCATTTGAGAATAAAAATACGTAATTCCGTGACACTTTTACATGTGGAACTGAGTCTGAGAAACTCCCTGTGGATGTTGATAAGCAGTTTTTCTGTGTGTGTGCATGTGTGTGCACGTATGTGTGTCACACACATGTTGAGGTGTTGGGGTTGGGGATGGGGATTTTAGAAGAAGACTTCGAGTTCAATTTATATGGAGCCATCCCCAGGTTGGAAATGCAAACTAGATAGTAATACTCAACAAGGGCATGTCCGTACCTTTCTTTAGAGGCTTGTGTACCATGGTCCTAGAGTTCAATTTGTAACTGTTTTCTAGTTCTTGAAGGAGATGTTGCCAGGTTCTCTTTGTAGAATAAACACTGCACGACAAGAATCAGAGAAGCGATTTTTCTCCTCATGGTTTTATGTATATTCATCATCAGGATAAGTAAAACATTAGTTTGAACGTGCTGGTTTATGATCGTTTTTTCTAGTACATATTTTGTTGTTGATTTTGAACAGGAAATGCTCGTATTATGGTTCTTGCTGCAACCAACAGGCCTTGGGATCTTGATGAAGCCATACTTAGGCGTTTTTCTCGAGCTTTTGAAGTTGGACTGCCAAATGCTTCTGAGAGGGCCACTATTATGAGGGTAATACTGAATGGGGAAAATGTAGCCGATGATATAGATTATACAAAGATCGCACTTCTAACAGAGGGTTTCAGTGGTTCTGATCTCAAAGAGCTGTGCAGGCAAGCAGCTTATATTCCTATCAGAGAACTCCTAGAGCAAGAAAAGAACGGTCAAGAAACTTCAAAGGTATGTTCAAATAATGGTAATGACGACTTTAGTTTGGAAGCACCTCTATATTTATTAGTTGATATTTGCCATTCCAGGTCCCTAGGCCTTTGAAGCATTCTGATATTGAAAGTTCATTCATTGCATCAAAATCTTCAAATTTAGCAACTGAATATGGCGGGAGAAGGCAAATACAAGAACCATCAGCCCAAGGGTCACTGATGCTCAGGTGGTCTGAACTAGTTAACGTACTCGCACTTTTGGGTGGGGATTCAAACAGAATTCTGGAGCAATGAGTATCATTTGGGTTCAGCCCTAATTTTTCAGAGGGATTAGACGTTTAACGACATGTGGTTGCTCTGTTTAAGTAATTTTATGAGCAGATGGCCCCATAACAATAGTTCTAGACGCATCAACAGGTTGATAGCATATTCTTGATTTGTTGTAAATATGATGGGTTCATATAATTCAAGTTGGGGTTTCTCCCCTGAGGTTTTGAGTGAGTAAGAAATTATATATATTTTTTAGTTTGATAATCATTTGTTTTATGTTTCATGAGTTTAGTTAATGCATCGATGAATAAGCTTTCAAGATTGTGGAGAAAAACTCGATCTTCTATTCGTTTGATTAGTAAATCAGTGAGCCCAATGAACGAAAATTCACCGCCTAGGCGGCATTTTTTGAATCGTGGACCGGGCAGGCTGTCTTAGGCGGTGTTTGCTAGGTGCCCGCCTGCCGGTGTAAAGGTGGGCGCCTAGGCGTCACCTTGAAAATAAGATAATTAATTTTTAATTATCAAGGTATTAATTTGTAATTATTAATTTATTGGTAATTATTGATTATTAATTTATTGAAAATATTTTTTTTCATGTGATAGTGATTATTATTTTTATCGGTAAACCAAAAAATAGTATTAATCCGTAATTATTAATTTATCAAAAATATTTTTTACATGTACCAGTAATTATTGGTAAAAACCAAAAAAATAGTACTAATTTGTAATTATTAATTTATCGAAATTGCTTTTTGTATGTAACTGTAATTATTAATTGTTTGGTAAACTAAAAAATGATATTAATTCGTAATTATTAGTTTATCGAAAATATTTTTTTGCATGTGATAGTAATTATTAATTCATTAATAAATCTAATGAAAATTTAGACTATTGAAAAAAACACTTTCGAAGACGTAAAAAACCCAAACAAATATGAGAATCCTATAGTGGTAGTTCCTGGTGACGAGCTAGACCTCTCTATCTCGGATTAAACAGATGAGCAAGTCGAAAGTGATTCCAAGCTAGAAGAACTTTGGTCACACGTCAAACAATTTAAACAGAAATTCGATAGTAACCTTGTGGTCGTCGTCGAGGAGACATTGGATGTCAAAATGGGTTTCGAGAAAGACCCAAAAATAACCAAGGTCGGGAGGTCCCTGTCATCCAAAGAACGAGATAAGATGGTAGCCTTCCTCAAAAAATTCTAGGATGTCTATGCTTGGTCTTACAGCGACATGCTTGGACTGAATCTTGCCCTAGTTGAGCATCATCTCAACATACGGGATGAGTTGAATCCTATTAAACAAAAGGCCCAGCGATTAAAGGCACACTTGAAACTTAAAACCAATGAGGAAATAGGCAAACTTTTAAAGAATCCTATTAAACAAAAGGCCCAGCGATTAAAGGCACACTTGAAACTTAAAACCAATGAGGAAATAGGCAAACTTTTAAAGGCAATGATATGATAGCATATCCAATGATATGATAGCATATCCTTCAACAACGGGATTGACTGTTGAAATATTCTCCAAGCATGTGACCATGATGAGACTTAAATAAATTTTTTTGTTTTCCCCAAGATGCATCTTTTGAATACTACAAAGCCTTCTAGCGAAGCATGTCGCATTGAGTAAAACCTTAAATGAGCAAAACCTTGTTGCTTAGCAACGTTGGTGCATTCGGCCTTTTGGCCAAGTGGGAGTGTTGGAGTATGGCCACTAAACCACCATAGTGTTCGTGGTCCATCTCTTATCTTTTATTTTTAAATGTATTTAATTTAATTTAATTTAATTATATTAAATATTTGTTATAACAGTCTCATTGCATTCAAATCCTTTGACTATCTTTTTATAATAAATTTCATTTTTTTTCTTTTTCTTAACCACCTATCAATGATATTCTAACGGTCACATTATACTAAATGTTTTTATTTGGGAGAGAGAATGATAGAAAAGGGAAGGCTAAGCTATTGATATGAACAGAGAGAAATCTAGACCATTGGATGCAAAACTTGACATATGTGGCAATGCGATAAGCTTCAATGCTTATAAAATAAACTCACTCACTCATTATAGGACCAAGAAAAAAAAATTTCATAGTCATTGCACATCTCTGTAGTTATCCATAAGCTTTATAGCAAAATTCTTTTTTCATATCTATCTTTTTCTTTATAATTTTCAATCGAATCTTTTTTTTAAAATTATTTTTTCATCAAAGAAGCTCACTACTTTGAAGACTTTCAAATACTGATATATAAGCAAATTAGATTTTTAGAAGAAAGTGAGCAAGAGGAACCACCAGACCCTAGGACAAGTGATGTTAAATGCTCTTTTAAAGTTGATTTGACTTCTAAGTTGTAGGAGCCTAGAAGGAGTACTAGAGAAATTGAAAAAGCTAGTTATTTAGATTATTATGTTCATTATAATGAATTGAGTGAAATGCCCAATAATTTAAAAAAGCTATTAGCTCACATGAAATTAATAGTTGGCTAGAAGATATGAAGGATTAATATGAGTTCCTAATGAGCAATAAAACATGGGTGATACTAAATTTGTCTTCAGATATAAAGGCAATCGGTTGTAAGTGGGTGTACCCTAAGAAATTGAACTTCAATGGTAATATTGAAAGAAATAAAACTAGGTTAGTGCTAAGGGGTTTAGCCAAAAGGAAGAAATTGATTTTCAATAAACCTTTTCATCTATAGCAAGAAAATCTTCAATGAGAATACTATTTGCAATAGCAAATCATTATGATTTTGAGGTTCATCAAATGAAAGTAAAGTCTGTATTTTTAAGAGTTGAACTACATAAGAAAATCGACACAACTCAACCTGAAGGTTTTGAATTTCAATGTCAAGAAGATAAAGTATGCAAACTAATTAAATCACTTTGGGGACGTTTAGATATTAGGGTATCCAAAACCATGTTTTGTATGTCGAGGCTACTTGCATAAAATATGTTTGGCAACGTTTTTTTTATATATAACCATGTTTTCTGTAATCAAGAAAGAGGGTCAAAACATGGGTACACAAAATCAAGAAAAAATTGGGTTATCCAAAATATGACTGTGTAAGCATGACAGAGGGAATACAATATAATACAATTGATGATAATACTATTTTCACGTACCGAAGTTGCCCATTTTATTAAATACTATTAATTATACCAAAACATCCCCACAAATTAGAGAGAGAAATTATCTCAAATTTTAATTTTTAGAGAGAGAAACTATATCAAATTTCAAGTTTTAGAGAGACAAAGTATCTTAAATTTTAGAGAGAAATTATATCGATTTTTAGAGAGAAAAATTACCTAAAGATTTTTAGAGAGAAACCTTCTAAAAACATTTTGAGATAGAAATTACATTAAATTCTAAGTTTTAGATAGATAACGTATCTTAAAATCTTAGAGAGAGAAACTATAGAAAATTTTAAAGAGAGAAAGGATCTGACATTTTTTAGAGAGAAACTAGCTCAAGAATTTTAGAGAGATAAACTATCTCAAATTTCAAGTTTTAGAGAGAAAACGTATCTTAAAATTTTAGAGAGGGAAATTGCCTAAAATTTTAGAGAGAATAACTATCTCAAAAATTTTAGAGGGAGAAAGTATCTCAAATTTTAAGTTTTAGATCGAGAAAGTACCTTAAAATTTTAAAGAGAGAAACTACCCGAATGTTTTTGGAGATATAAAACTATCTCAAATTTTTTAGAGAGAGAAACTATCTCAAAATTCAAGTTTAAGAGAGAAAGCATACCTTAAAATTTTAGAAAGAGAAACTATATTCAATTTTAGAGAGAAAAATTGCCTCCAAATTTGTAGAGGAAAAATGTGTCAAAAATTTTCGAGAGAGAAAATATCTCAAATTTTAAGGTTTAGATAGAAATTATCTTAAAATTATAGAGAGAGAAACTATATCAAATTTTAAAGAGAAAAACTATCCAAATTTTTTAGAGAGAGAAACTATATCAAATTTCAGGTTTTAAAGAGAAAACATATCTTAAAATTTAAGAGAGAAACTATATCAAATTTTATTGAGAGAAATTGCTTGAAAAGTTTTGGAGAGAAAAACTATTTCAAGTTTTAGAGAGAGTATCACAAAATTTTAGAGAGTGTAACTATATCGAATTTTAGATAGAGAAACTACCTAAACTTCTTAGAGAGAAAAAATGTCTCAAAATTTTTAGAGAGATAAACTATCTTAAATTTTTAATTTTTAAAGAGAGAGACTTTATTAAAATTTTTAGAGATAAAACGTATCTCAAATTTTAAGTTTTAGATAGTGTTAAAATTTTTTAGAGTGAATCTATATCAAATTTTAGAGAGAAAAACTACCTAATATTGTTTGGAGAGAGAAACTATCTCAAAAATTTTAGTTTTAGAGAGGGAAAGTATCTTAAAATTTTCGTGAGAAAAACTGTATCAAATTTTAGAGAGAGAAACTACCTGAAAATTCTTGGAGAGAGAAACTATATCAAATTTTAATTTTCAGAGAATAATTATCTCAAATTTTTTAGACAGAGAAACTATCTCAAAATTTCAAGTTTGATATATTCTCTATTTGTGTGCAATGGCAAACCAGAATAAACAAAAAATGATCCAAACATGAGATTTGCGTAACTTGGGTTCCCTTGGGTTCCCTTCAAAGTCATCCAAACAAGTCTTGTTTGAGTAACCAAATTTTTTTAAAAATAATAAGGTTTTGATTCAAAACCTGGGTTTGTTAATCCATAGAGCCAAAAGAGCCTTTTATGGTTTAAAGGAGTCCTCAAGGCAGTAGTATTTAATGTTTACAATTCATATAAAATATGGGTTCAATAATATAATTATTGATTATTACTACGTATATACCCAATACAATGGGCGTATACATTTTATTTTGGTCTTGTATTTGGATAATATAATTTTAATTGGGAGTGATGCAAAAGCCTTTCATGATTGTAAAGAGTGGTTATTCTCCAAATTCGAGATGAATAAAATGGGACAAGTAGATAATATCTTAAGAATCAAAGTGACGAGATATAGAAATAAAAGATTGTTAGTTATTAATAAAGATTACTATACTCTTATGATATTAAAGAATTTTATTATGGTGAACTCTAAATCTATGGCCACCCCGCTTGATAAAAATTGTGAAGTATCTAAAGAAATGTGTCCTAAAAGTGACAAAGAAAAGAAAATTAATGAAGAAATACCCTTATGCATAAGCTATTAGTTCTTTTAACTATTTGATGAATTGTGTTAGATCAGATATAGCTTATGCAGTGGTAGCTGCTAGTAGATTTATGGCTAACCATGATATTTAACATTGGAAATTGGTAAAAAGGTTATTTAGCTATATAAAAAGGACATATAATTATAGTTTATGTTATGGAAATAAGGATCTAATCTTAGACGGCTATAGTGATGCAACTCTAGGATAAAATATTGACGATTATAAATCTACATCAGGATAGGTGTTTACATTTGATGGAGCATGTATATCTTAGGAAAGTAAAAAGTAAAAATATATCTCACATTTCACTATAGGAGTTGCATATATTGCTTTATATCATGCTTCAAGAGAAGCGATATTATTAAGGTACTTTCTTAGTGACATGTCACTAGTCAAGTTTGATTACACGCTCTCCATAACTCATTGTAATAATCAAGCAACACTAGTCATTTCTAAACACCCAACATATCATGGCAAGTCAAAATATATTAAGAAAAAATACCACTGAAAGAGAATATGTGGAAAACAAAGAAATAAAAGTTAGATATCTTATAACTCAATTGATGATTACTGATCCAACGAAGGGTACTCATGTGGACCTATTTGTGATAAGTGTACTTACCATAGTACTCAAACACATAGATGAGTCACAAGAATATCAACCTCAGTGGCATATTGATGCGTGAGTAGCATATTGGAGCTTTAGTGGTTGTTATATCGTATCATGGATAACTTTTATGGTTGGATTAAACCTTATAACGATCATGTGATTACCTACCTTTGTGGCATTCTAAGTCTTTGTAACTCGATGACGCCTGTGTGGCATTTCAGGTTATAGCTTGATGACGCCTGTGTGGCAAGAGCATCCGAGAGATGCTATGGTGTCTTAGTGATACACTGGTTTTTTTGTAATCTACTAGCCTGTGTGACATGAGATGCACTGGTATGTTAATGATGCACTGGTATGTTAATGATACAGTGCTTTTTTTGTGATCTACTAGCCTATGTGGGTGATGCTCTGAGTATTTATGGGGAATTGGACCTTCGCGGTTCGTCCTTGTTATTTGCCAGTATGGATATTTCGGCAATTGAGGATCTCTTAGTGAGATGCATCTCTTTGTGGGATTATATGATAACAACTGCACCAATAAACTCTCAAGATTTTTGTAATGGGTGCCTGTATGTCCTCGGCAGTGTGAATATGTAACACATTTTATTGTTGGGTACCTATTGACATAGTATGTTGATCTAGAAGCCTATGCATGAAGTTCATAATATGGTTGATGATCACGCAATACGTCACGACTTGTAATAAAATTGGGAAAGTGTATGGTTGGTGTTGTTGAGTTGATGGAATGTATATGTGGATGGACTACGTATTGCTTGAGGACATACAACTCAAGTGATCATGAGGAGCACCTCATTCCAGTGGGTAAATGATTTTGTCAAGAAAGAAAAAAAAAATGTCCAAAACAATAGGGGAATGTTGGCACGAATTCTTTTCGCCATATTAAGACCTTTTCTTATTACCAAAATACCCTGGCATTATTATTATTTATTTTGTATGTATTTTTTTGCCAAGTATTAAAAGAAAAACTCATTCCCAAAAATTCACCTATTGGAATTTTGAGGCTTAAAAAGAAATATGGGTTGGGAGAGAAAGTTAAGGTGTTTTAGTCTCTCTCTCACTAACTATGAATCATATCTCTCTCTTTAAATATTTTAAAGGTGTCTTGGTCACAAGGGAGCACCCAAAAGTCTACAAGGTGACTCCAAGACAAGTCACTGCTAAGCCTAATTCCATGCACCATTATCCTTTAGTTTCTCTCTCTAACCGAAGATCTTTAAAGTGCCTTTTTTGTACAGCAAACTTGGCTGATCTCCAGCAAGGTTTTTTGCAACTTATGTCTATTTTCCATGCTCGTTTGGTGGCTGATATATTGGTGAGAGATTTCCTTTCTTTCTCCTTTTCTATTTCCAGGTTATCAATACAAGTTTAGGGGAAAATGCTCAGAGGATGGAGTATATATTTGGGCATGCTGCTATAATTTGGGAGCTCATTTAGATGTTATTTACATGTTTGATTTGTTATTATTGAGTGCATAACACTAGATGCATGCAATCTGCTTTTTGAGCTAAGTGATTCTATCTACACAGATTTTAAAACACATTTTGGTGGCTAAATATTCTGTTACTAGCCTTTCCATAAGAATCCAAGGAATTATGTCGTTCCCTAGAAACCATACCATTCAATACCAAAATTTACCGGGTGAGGTTCGTGGAAGGTACCCACCTTATATTACAAGTAAGGCGCACCTTTAAGTTGCCCGAAGACGTAGTTCCGATATTAGAAACCTTAGGGTGACTTGAAAATCAATATTAACCCTGATTATAAAATTTAAAATTTCAAAAATGGTACATATCAAACATATCTATAAACATTTGAAAATATACTATCCAGATAACTAGCTATAAGATGCCTTATTCGTAGGATTTTGAAATTAGTTTTTCTTTATATCTATACATCTTGAAGACAAGATGATCAATTCGGAGGAATTCTAACCTCAAAGCACTCTTTTTTACTAGATTTTTGAAGTGCACCTAACTTCTATAGTATCAGGTTGCAACCTCGTAAAACCTTTTCTAAAAACTTTTGGAAGAAAAATCCATAAAGTAGCGGGAGAAGTACCTTCCTAAATTGCTCAATTATGGCACAAGGAACATCATTAATGTTTTAAAAAATGTACAAAGAATTCTTGGATTTCTTTTTCTAGGAGTAAGAATCATCGGATAGGAGGGTCTGAGATGTGTCTTGATTTACAGACACTATCTATTTTCAGTAATCTAAGCAAAATTGGCATGGTAAGATCCAATTAATAATCTATTTTCAGTAATCTAAGCAAAATTGGCATAATAAGACCCAATTAATAAATGTGACTGAAATATATGAGGGATTTAAATTTTCTCTTAACCCGTCTCAATCCCAAGTAAAAGAGGTGGGTTGCACTCTAAGTAAACAACAAACGTAAAACTTTGCTATATCATATCGTGAATCCTCAACTTATATATTATATACTTGCTAAGAGTAGAGCCTTTACCTATATATTATATACTTACTGAAAATATGGCCTTTGATACAGAAAAATGAAAAAACAAAATTTATATAGGCAACCCCAAATAATTAAGATAAGACTTGAATGATAATGATGATGATGATCAATTAAATGCATGAACACTACATTGAACAGGACCTTGGAGAGAGAATAATGCCTCAGAGGAAACATGTCTAGAACTGCAGTTTCCATTTCTGGGTTTTGTGAACTTCTTGGTTTCCTTGTTTGTTATCTGAAAAGTTTCACAGCTTCATTCATCTCAAAATAAGAAGATGATCACCTAATACATGCAAACCATAAAATCATACTATATGAGAAGAACCATTTGCTGCATCAATTGATTGATTGAAACTTTTTGCAGTGTTTGAACGTAAGACAACACAGTAGCAAAAATCACTGGTATTTTGTTGCACGGTCCTACGGCTCATGCACGTACGCCCCAAACATGAGTTGGTCTAAGTAACTGATCTTTTTGCACCTATGGATCTGCACAACCTGCCTGTTGTATGAGAAGAGGACCGGGCGTTTAAGTAACAGATCTTTATATACAAATCTTGACCACTCTTTCAAAGCTGTATATGCCCAAAATGCCCTCATATAGTAGTGTACCACTAGAAAAGCTCATTGACTACCAACAAATTCACGTATCAGCCATTTGATCCATGTCTGCCAAAGTTGCTTCTGTGACTCTGGTAGGGTGAGGGCCCATCTGTCATACACCAAAAACCAGATGAATCTCTTATTAACATAAAACCATCTAATTATGTCTTACCATATTCTGATAGAGTTTAGCACACAATACTCTATAGGGAATCGACCGTCCCTTCCCAATGATCGACAGTCAAGATTAATTGTACCAGAGTGGAAGTCCCAGTCGGACCCCACTGCAGTTAAATCTCCACCATATGTCATCAGTGGACGGGATAACACTTTGAAGTACTGTGCACCGTACTCCATTGGACTAGGGTCTATTTTCAAATATGCTTTCCTCCACCCATAAAAAATAGAGCAAACACTCTGATTGTTTTCTCACCTTGTACCTCTCCATTCTGAGCTGTGAAGAATGGGGTCAAATAATTCTTATCTAATGCTGTGAAGGAGGAAGTGCTGTGGCAATTCAGGAAGGGTAAACTGCGAATGAGATTCGACATTCAAGAGAGTAAAATAGATAAATATAGAAAGTTATTCATAGAACACCTCTTGTGGAACTCTTTGAGTCTCATTTTCAGCTTTTGTCCAGAGGATGCGCCCTCTTCATAAGAGGGAGCAATGTAGCCATTGTCACCATCAAAAGTCTGACAGCAGAAAGACAATCGTGGAAAAAGTCTTGTTTAAATTAGATAGCAGATAGGGAAAAGGGAAAGAGCAAAAAATATCAAATCAAACAGGGATTAAATACTCAATTCTTGTTGTAAAAGAAAATCTGGAAAGCCTTGCCAACATACAAAAGAAAGAATAATATTTTCTTTTCTGCTAAATGGAGAATAATATTTTTTTTCTTTGCTAGAAACAAGTCATGGATATGGAAAAGGGCTGCTATTACTGACTTCATTTCCTGATAAGTTACAAGAACTCAGGTATTTAATACTTGCCTCTCCAAGTCCAAAGGTCCCATCATGACCATCACCCACAACCTCCAAAGCTTCGAGCATCGTTCCAGTTGACCCGCCAATCAAAAGAACCTGCAATAACTGACAAATTAGAACCAAATAATATACTAATATCAATCTTTGCATGTAACATAAATAGAAATTTAAGACACAAGGAGCCACCGTAAGGACAACGATTGCAGTGGTAGCTGTGAATATTGTTTGGCCATGGCCTTCGGGGAGATCATGAACTGATTGTAAAGCAAGAGCAAAAGCCATAGCTCCTCTTAGCCCTGTTCAAGCAAAGAAGTTTGATCATTAAAAAGAAAACAGAAAACATCACATATTGGTAGCCCTAAGACTCACAAGTGCGATGATTGATGGAAACTTCATTAATAGAAGTAAACACATCAGAAAGTAATTAACTTCTCACCACTGTACCAAAGTGCTTTCTGATGTTTAGGGGGTATTTTCCTGCTTGCTGGTCGGACCAAATTCACCAAGTATGCACATGAAAAGACATTTGCAGCCCTTCAGATAAAAACTTGGAGAAGTCAATAATTACTCCAATAAATGTGGTCGTAGCAGTAATATGTGGATTTCTTTCACTTTTTTGACAAGAATAAAGAACATAAAAAACATCCAATCCGATGATGATATAAGAACTGGGAAAATATATCATGGTCCAAATGGTATGGCATGTGGTACGCCAATGCTATTACATCCACCTTCTCCAAAACACTAGCAGTTGATATTAAATTGAGTGAAATCCACAGGGACATTAATCCAGGTCTAGTTACTCCCCAACAATCCATCAGCACAAACAGAAAGGAGATGGAGCACTAAGTACCATATACCATATGTAGTCCATTGGAACAAGATATCCTTTTCCTCTGATTAGTAGCAATGAACTTGATACTATATAGACACATAGCTCAGAAGAAATTAAGCTTCCATATAAAGGTCATGTTGCTCAACGTTACCAAATTCTTTTTCATTCAAAATTTGAGAAAAATAATAATTTAGAGAAACCTCAATGAGGTAGAATTTTGTTGTACTAGTTGCTTAGTTTCAAAACTTCAAAGCAGGATCGCAATGTGTTTTCAAATCAAAAAGAAGAAATAGAAGTAAGAAACTTAGATGTGTCATAATTTCCATAAAAAATTCGTAAATAAACTTGACTTCTCCCATTAACTTCCAAGGAGTATCATTCCGAGAAGTTTCAACAAATAAAAAGCGCTAAAGACAGCACAAAATACTGTTAAGTTTAATTTTAAGAACAAGCTTGAATACTTCCAAGAAGACCTGGAAACCATACCTTGCAACTCCAATAAACAACTAGAACAGCCACGATGACAAAAGGTTAAGGAATGCTAGTAATTCATAACACCAATAAATCTACAAAACAGTCAATAACTTGCATTGCCCTTTAGAAGGATACAATAGAGAAAAAGATAAATCCAACATGTGACCAGCTCTGTTGTTCCATAGCAATATCAATACCCATGTATATAAACCTGCATGCCAAAAAAAATTATCAATAATACCGTGGAAATCTTCCAGCAACAGGATTAGCACACCATCTAAACAAAGTGATCGCAGACTATTTCTTAGACAAATGTTTCTGTCTCAAAAAAGATAAAAAAGGTAGATGACAGATGGTTTCTTACACAAATGTCTCAGCCAATGAAGATATCAGATGGAAAAAAGCAGCAACAAATTGTTGAGAATTTTCCGACAAATTTGAGAAAGTATAGTGTTTCATGAGCTGAAAAGGAAATGAATTGATGACATTAAACAGATCTTCGCATCAGGGTTTAACCAACAACAATTTTAAATATGTCCCATACAGAACAAGTTTTGTAACTTACAATTCCAGTGAATAATATTGAAACAATACCAGAGAGTCCAAAACCTTCAGCTAGCATGTACCTGAAAGGACGTAAAAAAAAAAAAAGATATGCAGTCAAAGGCAAACATTTTCATCTGAATATCATGACAGACAAAGAAGAATGTCAAGATGGAAGTGGGAGAACCATGGATAGCTTACGAGAAATATGGGAAGAGTACAAATAGACAGCATTCAAGGTTCTGAAGACTGGAAAACATGCGAAAAAAGGAACCATGTCAAAATTTTGAACTTTTATGAGACACAAAAAACTACATAAGACTGATTTGAAAATGTATAGTGAATTTGGTACTTACTTGTCAATGTCAAGGCCTGCATACTTAAAGAGGTACACCATAGTCAAGGATTTCCAGTTGATGCTCAACATATGAATAACAAAAAGCTCAAAAAAAACAGAGAACCAGTAGTTTAAAAAGCGGATCGGTGACCCGGATCGGGCATTTAAAAAACCCATCCGGATCGGCGAATCGGCGATCCGGATCGGGAATCTGCCGAATAGGTCGGATTAAACTGTAAAAAAAATATAAAAAAATTATTAAAATTTATTATAAATGTTGCTTTTTAGGAATCCAATAAGAAATCAGGGAACTATATTACTAATTTTCATTTTTTTCATCAATATGTGAATATTGAGATATTTTTTCTCTGTATGAACTTATTTTAACCATTAAATTGCATCACACAAAATAAAAATCATAGAACTATCATGGATGAATTATAGAGTCATACATGGACTACAATTAAGAATGATTCTTTTATAAGAACATTTTAGTTTTTTTGATAAAAACCTTTTATTTTTTTTTACAATAAATGTTTGTCGTATTACATTTTTTTTGTTTTTAGCAAGAGCCTTTTTTTTTTTTGACAATAAATACTTGCTGTATTATTTTTTTTTTATAAGAAATTTTTTTTTGACAATAACTTTTTATTACTTTTTATTTTTTGAAAAAAAGCTTTTATTTTTTTGACAACAAAAAGAAATTTGACAAGAAAAATAATTGATAAGAACCATTCATTTTTTTTTATAAAAACTTTTTATTTTATTGATAAGAAAAAAATTTGACAAAAAGCAAAATTGATAAAAAAAACCTTTCATTTTCTTGATAAGAAAAAAATTTGACAAAAAGCGAAATTGATAAAAAAACCTTTCATTTTTTTCTTATGACAAAAATACTTGTTGTATTATTATTTTTTTATAAGAACTATTTTTTTTTTGACAATAACTTTTTATTACTTTTTTTTTTTGACAAAAACTTTTTATTTTTTTGACAAAAAAAAGAAATTTGACAAGAATAATAATTGATAAGAACCTTTCATTTTTTTTTATAAGAAAATTTTTATTTTATTGGTAAGAAAAAAATTTGACAAAATGCGAAATTGATAAAAAAAACTTTTCATTTTTTTGATAATAAAAAAATTTGACAAAAAGCGAAATTGATAAAAAAACCTTTCATTTTTTTTATAAGAAAAAAATTTGACCTCAAAAAAATAAAATTGACAAAAAAAATATTTATAAGAAAAGAATTTGACCTCAAAAAAATAAAATTGACAAGAAAAATAGTTGATAAAAGAACCCCCTTTCGTCCTAAGGAGAATGGAACCCACGCCCTCCACATGCAGAAAGAAAGTTATAACCAGTAAGCCACATGGTACTTAGTAGTATTAAAAGCGCAAACAACATATATAATATATTAATGTTTCAAGTTAATACCTTCCCATTATCCCA